ATATATATATATATATATATATATATTATATATATATATTATATATATATATATAATAGCACTATATTAACATATTTTAAAACTTTAGTTTTATAAAAACAAGGAAAATTAAAATCAAATAATTTAATGAATATAATTAACCAATCGAATACAAGATTATATTTAATACATACGTTATATGATAATTCTTTGAACTAATACATTGACATCATAAATTATTAAAAATATTAAAAATTTGGCAATAGTAAACAAACGAAAATAATTCAGAATATATTTTTAAAGGATGAAAATGATTCTATACAAGTACTTACTAATTTTGGTTGTTCATTGCTACGACTATAGTCGAAAACACCCGAGTACTAGACACCACGTGTCAACATTTATGTGCTAATTATCAGCAATGATATTCACTTTGTGTCATAATTTGCTATTCATTAAAATATAAATTATAATTATATTAAAATGTATATCAAAAGCATGATCAAACGTTAATTTAATTTATATTACTTTATGATTAAATATAATTTAATTAAAATAATTTATAGAAAATGTTCATTTTAAACATTTAATTTTTTGTTAAAAAAAACATTTAACAAAATGTTCATATATAAATTTATTTTTATAATATAAAAATGAAATTAAAAATTATATCGAATATATTTTTGCATATTTTAAATTAAAAGTAATAAAATTTCTAATTTATAAGTATTTAAATATTTTTCATTAAAAATTCAATAAATTATGCAAAATACATAAAAAAATATATTAATATATAAATAATTTTAAACTTTTAATTTGGATTTTTATATATAATTAAAATAAAAATGATAATATGAATACAAATGTGTAAAATAGAAAATATATCATATATATTATAAAAATAATTTATTTTTGAAACTATATTCGCATTGATTTTTATTAAATTAAAAAAATAAATAAAAAATTTTGATTATGAAAATAAAATAAAAACTTGCTGAATGATGCATATAAACAATATGATTATTATAAAATAATAATTACAATTATAATTAAAATTATTATATAATATAATAGTAATTCTTTAAAATAACCTAGAATATTAATAAAATTAAGACTAATGAAATATATGTTATCTCAATTGTAATTTATTTAACAAAAATTTATGAATTTAAATTATTTAAATTAGAATAGTTTATGTATCATACTTATGTTATAAAAAATGTTATATTTATTTAAAATATTAAATCATTATAGTGTTATTATAATAATTTAGAAAAGAATTTAAAAATAATTATTAATTATTCAATATTATTTTTTAATTCTATATAATATAATATAATATAATATAATATAATATAATATAATATAATATAATATAATATAATATAATATAATTTATTATTAAGATATATTAATTAAATAAGAAAGAATGTTAAATTAAATAAATATCTCAAAAAATGGTGCTAGAAACTGGAATATTATCAAAATTTTTATATATTGCAATTGTAGTTGCAACATATTGGTAAGTTGAAATAAATTAGTTTTTTCAATATATGTTATTAGATTTTTAATAATAAAAATTAATAGTATTTATTTTTTACTAATATATGTAATTAATAATTTTTAGGATAATTTCTATATTAACAGTATTTATAAATAAAATTCTTTTATCCAGTCATACTATAAATTTGGATGCACCACTTTTTATAACATGGTGTCAATGCATAATATCTTTAAATATTTGTGTAATTCTTAGTAATTTATCAAAATGGTTTCCAAGATATATTAAATTTTCCAGTGGAAATCCATATACTAAAGAAATTCTTAAGAAGGTAAGTTAGAGTTTTATGATAAGAATATAAATATGCTATTGTTTTTTATTAATATTTAATTATATTTAATTATATTTTTATTATTTTTATATGTCTATATATTTACAGATATTTCCATTGTCTCTTCTTTTTATTGGAATGATTGCAACAAACAATTTGTGTTTAAAATATGTTGATGTTGCATTTTATTACATAGGACGTTCATTAACAACTGTATTTAATGTTATTTTTACATATTTTATGTTAGGTAAGAATCTTTTAAATATTAAAAAAAATATATGTACATTTATGTATACATTTATATAATAATTTATTATAATTTTATAGGTAAAAAAACTTCTATAAATTGTATTGTATGTTGTGCATTTATTGTTATTGGATTTTGGCTTGGTGTGGATCAAGAACATATTGCTGGTTCTTTATCTATTCTAGGAACTATTTTTGGTGTATTAGGATCATTAACTCTTTCTTTGTATTCTATTCATGTAAAACAAGTCCTTCCTAAATTAAATCAAGATATTTGGTTACTCTCTTATTATAATAATGCATATAGTATCATTATATTTCTTCCATTAATGATAGTTAATGGAGAACATATTACAGTATATAATTACGATAAAATTGGATCTTTTTATTTTTGGTTAGTTATGATTATTGGTGGTATTTGTGGATTTGCTATTGGTTATGCTACAGCACTTCAAATAAAAGTTACATCTCCTTTAACTCATAATATTAGTGGAACTGCTAAAGCTTGTGTACAAACAATTTTAGCAACTTATTGGTTTAATGAAGAGAAATCATTTATGTGGTGGATAAGTAATTTTATTGTACTTAGTGCTAGTGCAATGTATGCTAAATTGAGACAAGTTGATTTAAGTAAAAAATATAAAGAAGAAAAGCAACAATTGCAAGTATGCAAAATGTGAATGAAATAAACATATTTCAATATATTAGAAAACTTAAATATATACATATATATATAATATTAAAATTATAATTAATTACATTTAAACATTTTATATTCAAATCAAAATAATATAAATAAATAAATAATACAAATATAAATAAGATATTAAAATTTTATTGTATTATTTATTATTATTTTAATTGTATATTGTATTAATTTTGTATATAAATAAAATGAGAATTAATTATTTTAATAAAATAAAAAAACAGTAAATTATTCATCATGTTTTTTATTTTAGATTTATTCAACTATAGTTTATTAAGATTTATTAAAAAATCTTATTTTATAATTATCTTTAATATATTTAATATATTTAATAAAATATATTATTAAATATATTAAATATATTATAATATAATATAATATAATATAATATAATATATATAATATATATTTTATAAATATATTTAATAAAAAAGAATATATTTAATAAAAAAGAGATAAAAATAAATAATTTATTAAAATCTTGATGCAAGACCACCTCCACGACTATCTGAATGACTTGACATTAAATCTTTTTTTTTTACGATTGCATTTACACTTTTTACTATATCAGTATCCAAGTGTGATATTGGTACTATCAAGTTTAGTTGATTTTGTATTAATATATTTACAGAATGTTTTTGATTATTTTCCATAACAAGACCATTTGATGAAAAATAATATCTAAAATCATAAAAGTTTTATTTAAAAATTAATATTAATACAAATTTTATATTATAAAAAATAAAATCTATTTTGTACCTTGGATACTCAATAGCTTCAGAAATATTTAATTGACGAATTATAATATTATACAATAATTGTCCAATAATTGATACATCATCAGTTCCAAATACTCCTCGTAATCCACATAACGCTTTTTCATTATGAAAAATTATTGGAACAAGTACAGATAAAGTATTATTGATATCTGTTTTATCTAATAAAAAACCTGCATTTGACATATATCCAAGACCAAATGGAGCACTAAGTCCACTATAATTATACAATTTAATAAATTATAAACTATAAAGATAAAATATAAAGATACATAATAGGACTTTGATAATATAATACTTTTATACAAATTAAAAATTATCTTCAAATATCGGATTAAAGAAAATTAAAGAAAATTTGGAAAATAAATATGAAAACGAAATTTTTCTTAAGAAAATAATATAAGAAAACACATTATAAAATAAAAAAACAAATTCTGAATTTGAAAAAAAATTCGACAGAAAAAATTGAACTAACATTTAAAAAACAATATCAATGGAACTTAATTTTAAGCAATTTTGATATTTATTATAATTATCTATCTTTTTACTTCAAATTATTATATGATAAAAAATTTTGTGTTTTTATTATTTTAAAATAAAATAAAATATATTTTCTATTATATTAAAAAAAAACCATTTTTTACTTCGAATTTTTGGTTTCATATAATGCATTATAAGAAATCCTAAACTTAAACTATTAAGATACTAACGTTATAATACAAACATAAGTATCTTCCCAATCCATTGCAATAACTCCAGTATATTTTTCTTTTTCAGCTAAAATTATTGTTCTATATGAAATCAATATTATTAATAAAATTTATATTATAAAATGAAAACAGGGAGATATAACAAACCATATTGTTTTAATTGAAATGGAAATGAAACAACATTTATTAATGCTTTAGCTACTTGTATCTCTGTTCGTATTGTAGATGCATTGTCAGCTGATATTTTAAGATTTTCCAATGCAGTAATCATTGATTTTAATAATGAAATATGTGGAGGATAATATACTGCATGTTTATAAAAACTAGATTTTTTTGCTATATATATATCAGGTTCATATTTTATCAATTGTGGAAGTAATTTTGAAAGTTTAACTTTGTCATGTAGTAATTTCTGTGAAAAAGTTCCATTATATAATACTAAAAACAAAACAAATAAATAATTAAAAGATATTGGTAAAAAATTTTAATTATTAATAATTATAATTATAATAGAAATAATACCATTAGTTCCTTTCAATGCCACAGCATTTAACATATTACTAAGATCAGGTAACTTTAATATATCTCCTGCACTAATATGTCCATACAAAATCTCATAATTGATATTTTTTGATACTTCAGTAGCTAATTCCTTTGATACAACAAATCCTTTTTTTGCTAAAGATACAGAAGGTTCAACAATTTCATTCCATGATAATTTACCTTTCAATTTATGTGCATATTCTAATCCTCGTAATACTGCTGGTATACGTATTCCACTTTGTTCAAAATTGCCTAATAAATAATTCAAATAATATAAAATTTGATATGCATTTTGAAATATTTATATTTTCTTATATATATATATATATATACCTTCAATTGTATTATTAACAAAATCAATAATAATTGGTTCTATTTGTTCTTTATGATTATATATCATTATGTAACCACCGCTAAAATAATAATTATAAATTATAATATTTTGTAGATATAATAAAGATATACACATAACTTACCCACCGAGGCCAGTTTTATGTGGAGCTACTACTGTCATACAAATGGTAGCTGCAATAG